CGTCACGCAGCCACTGGCACACAGGTCGTCACACAGCCACGGGCGCTCACGTCATCATGCAGCCACGGGCACTCACATTGTCACACTGCCACGGACATACACATCGTCACGCAGCCACCGGCACTCACGTCGTCACACAGCCACCGGCACGCACATCTCCGTGTCTCCTGGCATTTTCAGTCTGAAGCTGCGGTCAGGATCCCCGACGACGCTTGCACTTGTTTGCTGGATTTCCCTGGGTTTTCTTCCTTAATGCTGATGGCAGGGTCAACGCAGGAAGCCACCCCATCTCTTACTTTCAGGAGCCCTAGGGGCATCATGGGTTTAACTGCCAACTCCCCAAAGTGTAACCTCAACACTGCCCTGCAGACACACGGAAGCGGGGAGCAAGTGAGTGCGGGAAGCAGGCTGGGCGGGGAGACCAGTGTCAGCCTGGGTCCCAGAGCACCCGCGGGGCTTGTGAGCGCCCTGGAGACCTGGGGGGACCCCACTGCCGCCAGCTGCCGGAACCCCCTCCCAACATTTCCCCCCAGGAGCTTCTGTATCACCTGGGAGAGCAGGCGGCAAACAGTGAGTCTGTCTACACTGCACTGTCTACACTGCACTCTGCCCGTACAGCTCACTGAATAGCCGAGGGACGCAGGCTGTGGGGACACAGTGGCCTGCTGGGGGCCTCCCTACAGCGTGCCTGTCACGGCCTCCCATGTCCATGATGAAGATAACACCGGGAGCGTGGCTCGTGCCTGCCAGGCCAGAGCCCGCCGGGACGAGCAAGACTGGCCTCCTTCCCCCAGGCCACCCCCCGCCCCACCCCTGCACTCACGATGATCGCGTGCACCACACGCTGCCTCGTCCAATTCAGCACCACAGACACAGTACTGGGGCTTACAGGATGTTTCCCCCAGTGCCCACTCCGATGAGAACCCCGAGAACTGACGGGCAAGCACAGGAATCAGTGTCGACAGAGGAGGAAGCTGGAGTCCAGCACTCTCACCCTGAAAATGACCACAGCTGTGGGGGTGGCAGTGTCCCCGTCACCTGAGTGACCACAGAGGGTGGCAGTGTCCCTGTCACCTGAGTGACCACGGAGGGTGGCAGTGTCCCATCACCTGGGTGACCACGGAGGGTGGCAGTGTCCCATCAGGTGAGTGACCACAGAGGGTGGCAGTGTCCCCTCACCTGGGTGACCACAGAGGGGTAACAGTGTCCCCGTCACCTGGGTGACCACAGAGGGGTAACAGTGTCCCCATCACCTGGGTGACCACAGAGGGTGGCAGTGTCCCATCACCTGGGTGACCACAGAGGGTGGCAGTGTTCCCTCACCTGGGTGACCACAGAGGGGTAACAGTGTCCCCGTCACCTGGGTGACCACAGAGGGTAGCAGTGTCACAGACCAGTGACTTGCACAACTGGACCCCAGGCCCCTCTCTGTGACTGAAGCTCCGTGTTCCTCTTCTCCCCGGTGCCTGGTGGCCCCGGGCCGGCGCCCCGGCTCCCTCGTGTGCCCCGTGCCCTGTGCGCAGCGGCAGGGTTGTTTCAAATTAAGGAGCTGGGAGCCTGAGCTCCTGCACGGGAAATGAGGCTGCCAATGCTCAGAGGAATGGAACTGAGTTGCGTTTTTTAAAAAGTAGAATTTTGGGCCAAGTGGCCTCTTTCTGTCCTGCCCTTCCCTGTGTCCTTCTGGTCTCCATGGGAACGCCACATCCACGCCGCGTGTGTTGATCCATGCTTCCACGGGGCTGGGAAGCCACGGGGTGGAAACTCCTTTCAGAAGGTTGCCGGAAGAGCTGTGCTCGCCGGCCAGAGTCCCCGCCTGCCGCGGAAGCTTCCGTTGGTGCGGCCCAGTGCTGCGCTGGTCCAGCCTCACTGGGCGTTTGCAGCCAGCTCCTCCCCCGTCAGGGCTTTTAAAATATTAGAGTGCAGATCGCATCCCCTTTATCCCCCACGTAATCGCATTTGCGTGGCCTGCATGACGGCACCGGGGGCCGCTTTGCTGCGGAGCAGGTGTCGGTCGGTGCGCCCGACCCCAGTGCTGGCCGGGAGGCAGCAGGGTCCCACTGCTTTTCCAGACTTTTCCCGGTCTCAGTGTCCTCAGGGTGGACGGTTATTAACCACCGCTGTGTCCAAGGCACGGAGGTGATGGGCGCTGCTGCTTCCAGGGCATGGCCGGTGGGGAGGGGTCCTGTGGCCTGGTGGAGCTGAGGGGGCCCCTTCTCAAGGAGGGAGTTCTGAGGTGGGGGAGAGAGAAAGGGGGAGAGGGAGGGAGGGAGAGGGAGGAGGAGGGAGGGAGAGAGAAAGGGGAGGGAAGGGGAGGGAGAGGGAGGAGGAGGGAGGGAGAGGGAAAGGGGAGGGAAGGGGAGGGAGAGGGAGGGAGAGAGAAAGGGGAGGGAAGGGGAGGGAGAGGGAGAAAGGGGGAGAGGGAGGGAGGGAGAGGGGAGGGGGAGGGAGAAAAGGGGGAGAGGGAGGGAGGGAGAGGGGAGGGGGAGGGAGGGAGAGGGGAAGGGGAGGGAAGGGGAGGGGGAGGGAGAAAGGGGGAGAGGGAGGGAGGGAGAGGGGAAGGGGAGGGAGAGAAAGGGGGAGAGGGAGGGAGGGGGGAGGAGGAAAGGGGGAGAGGGAGGGAGGGAGAGGGGAGGGGGAGGGAGAAAGGGGGAGAGGGAGGGAGGGAGAGGGGAGGGGGAGGGAGGGAGAGGGGAAGGGGAGGGAAGGGGAGGGGGAGGGAGAAAGGGGGAGAGGGAGGGAGGGAGAGGGGAAGGGGAGGGAGGGCGAGGGGGGGAAGGGAGGGAGGGAGGGCAAGGGGGGAGAGGGAGGGAAGAGTAGGGAGGGAGGGGGAGAGGGGAGGGAAAGAGAAGAAGAGCGAGGGTGGGAGGGGAAGCGAGGGAGGGAGGGAGAGAGAGGGGGTGGATGGAGGGCTCCTGTCCACGGGTTCACTCCCCAGATGCCCACAATGGGTGGGGGCCGAAGCCGGGGCCCAGGACTCAGCCCAGGCCTCCTGCACAGTGACAGGAGCCGTCAGCACTGCCTCCTGGCAGGGGCTGAGCCCAGGCTCTGCAGTGTGGGACGCAGGCATCCCGGCTGCACCTGCCCCGCCCTGCGGGACCGTGGCCTGCCTGGAGGGCAAATGTGGGCCTGGCGGGGGGCTCACAGGAGCTGGGCCCAGGGGCGGGGCCAGGTGGGGACTCTGGGCGAGGGGACAGGCCGTGCGTGCGTGTGAGCAGTGGCGGGCGGTAGGTGGGACAGGCGAGAATAAGGACGAGGAGGGCTGTGGAGCCCCCTCCAGTGGCGTCTTGGGCAGAGGCGGGAGAAGTAAGGCCAGAAGCTGTCCTTGAGGGGTGGCCAGACGAGGCAGCGCCCACGGCCGGGGCGTGGGACGAGGCTGAGACACTCAGCAGCTGCGGTGGCCAGCTTGCAAATCGGGCTCGGCCAGGGGCGCGGAGGAGAGAAAGCAGCCGGAGAGGCCTGAGGGCCAGGACAGCGACGGCCAGAGCGAGCGGGCCGCGGGCTGCGGAGCTGTCCAGCAGTGCGGGCCCGGGCGGGCAGCCGGGGCTCGGGGAGCAGCGGCCGCCGCGGAGGGCAGGGTGCCCGGGAGTCCGTGCTGGGCAGGGCAGAGTGTGCCTGGGAGGCCAGAGCGGGGCCGGTGTCTGCCGCGTTCCCTGGAGACCGTGTCCCCGCCAAGTTCTGCGCCAGCTCTGCTCCCACGACACGCGTGCCCCGTCTCTCCCCATGGCATGCGGCTGACGAAGCTGTCGGCCTGTGAAACATTTAGAAGATTTGCTTACTTGTCTATTTGAATGGCAGTGTACGAGAGAGAGAGAGAGAGAGAGAGAGAGAGAGAGACACAGGGCTGGTTCATCCCCCAAATGGCCGCTACAGCCCGGGCTGGGCCAGGAGCGCCATCCGGGCTCCCGCGTGGGTGCAGGAGCCCAAGCACTCGAGTCGCCTCCTGCTGCCTCCCCAGGTGCATCAGCAGGAAACCGGGTGGAAAGTGGAGAAGCTGGGGCCGAAGCCGGTGTGCTGCCATGGGGTGCCGGTGTCACAAGCGGTGGCTTTGCCCCCTGCACCTCAGTGCCGGCCCCCGCCTGCTGCGCGTGCTGTGGCTAAGGCCGGAGGTAGCAGTGTCCAGCACATGCCAGTGTTCGCTGGGCACTGGCCCGGTGCTGGTGGGCTCTGATTCTGCTGCCCATGCGCCAGAGCGAGGGGTCCCAGGGATGCAAAGCTCTTCCTTCGCTTCCCGTCTTGTCACCCAACAAGGCCCTGCGGGCGCTGTCGGAGAGACACAGAGGGGCGGCCTGGCTGCGGAACACAGGTCACCGCTGGCCACCCTGCCCGGGAAGGCTGGGGGCAGCGGCTGTGCGGTCTCAGCTGGGGGACACCTTCACTTTCCTGGTGTCGTGTCCCTGTCTGGACCGTCCGCCTGCCTGGGACGTGGGACTGCGGTCTGGGGTGATAGCGACACGAGGAACAGCCTCATGTGCTGGGGGAGGTTGGGCAAATGGGGTCTCGGACCTGGCTTGTGGATTCGTCACTTTCCGTAGAGAATCCCACTGCCCATGGCTGGTCCCTGGTGGGAGTGAGGAGCCGCCTCAGGATCCCCAGCGGCCCGGAGTCACCTGCGGGGCTGGGCCCCACCCCCTGCGAGTCTGCAGGTCTGAGGGCGGGGCCTGGGCTTGGCCAGTCCTGCAGGATCCCCAGTGATGCCGAGGCTGCCCACTTGGAGGACCTGAGCACCCTGTGGGCGGAGGCGGGCGGCGGGAAGGTGCGTGCCGGTGAGCGGCCCGAGGAGAACCTGGACAGGAGAACGGGCTGGCTGCCGATCGGGCAGAACAAAGGGGAAAGTCTCGCTTCGCCACACAGGCAAGCCGGGAAGTTGCTAGGTGATGGATGGGGAGCGAGGGGAGCGCCCAGGGTGGGAGCCAGGTGAGAGGCAGAGTTGGGCTCGCGCTCCGGCAGGCAGAGGAGGCGGTGGAAATGTCTCATTAGGCAGCGGGGTGGGAGAGGGGAAGGGCTGCGGGGGGGGGGGGTGAGGGTCTGGAGGAGGCAGGGAGAACGGGGCTGGCCCGGCACGGCACGGGAGAGCCGGGAGGGAGGAGGGGTGGCATTTGGCCGCATCACCTGCCCCGGGGCTCCATCACATCCCATCACACCCGGCAGGACAGGGACAGCCCCCTCCCCCGGGAAGGAGATCCGGCTCGCTGGGCTCCTGCGCTCGCTGCTGTCTGGGGCCGGACCCCCACGCTCCCTGCTCCCTGTGCCTGCAGCGGCAGCAGCTTCCAAAGCCGACCCCCAACCTGGACTTCTAGCTCTCTGGGGGCCTGAAAGAGTTAATCCAGACCTTGGCGGGAGCAGCAGGGTGCCCGGGCTGCTGCAAGGGAAGCTCCAGGCCAGGAGGCAGGTGCAGGAGGGGGCGGCCAGGCCAGAGCTGCTGGGGCGCCGAGGAGCTGAGCGTGACCGCGCAGCCGCCCGCCCGCCGGCCGCAGGCTGCCTCGGCGTTCACTGGATGTGACAGGCTCTAGAGAGGAGCTTTGTGCGAGGCCGCGGGCTGCCGGGCTGTGCATGCATGCGTGTGGATGCGTGTGGATGTGTGCGCGCCCGTGTGTCCCTGCACACTGCCCGTCCTCGCCAAGGCTGGGCAGCTGAAGGAAGGGCCTCCCCTTTCCCCTGACCACCGGCTGGCAGGGACCTGCAGGCCATGAGGACCGGCCCACGACGGTGAGTGCTGCTCGGCTGCCCTCTCCCCGCCCATGTCCGTGTCCCATGTCCCGTGCTTGCCATCACCTGCCCTGCACGCACCCCCGCCCACCCCCGCGCTCTGCCTTCTCTCCGCTTCTCCCAATTCTCAGACCTTTGCTCTCCCTGACGCCTCTCTTTGCACCGTGCCCCGTCCAGTCTGGTGCAGTCACACCCTGGAACCTCCTGGGCTCTGGGTTCCCCCGGTTCTGCCCCTGTTGGGAGGGTCCGCGGTTCCCTGAGGCCCCTACGTGACGGAATCCAGGGCTGGGGACCCGAGGGGCGATTTGAGCTGTGCTGGGTCTGGAAGAGGCGTGCGAGTGACAGCTCCCGAAGGGTGTGGGCGCCGTGGGGTGGTGGACGGGGACCCCTGCCCCAAATGGCCTTGGCTGTGGCGAGGACCCTGCTCTCAGGGTGGGGGGTCTTCGGTGCCCGACTCCTGGGTCCCTGGGACGGCCCTTCCGCGAGCTGACGGATCCCTAAGTTCTTGTCGGTCCTGGTCGTCTTCTTGGAGGAGTTGTGTGCCGGCGCAGCCCAGGGCCTCCCCCGAGTCAGGAGTCTGAACACAGAGCCTGTGTTTGGGGCCAGAGTCAGTTTCCCCGGGTGGGTGCAGAGGGGCCCTCGGGAGCCTGACTCAGGTCAGGGGGCCTCGGCGCCTCCTCCCCCACTCAGGCAGCCCCCACAGCCTCCCTGGGCTGCCCCTACCATCTCTGCACGTGCACGGTGGGGACAGTGCCCGGCAAGCCCCTCGGTGTCCCCCAGCCTCCCTGTCCTACCTGGGCAGGTGCCCTTGGAGGGAGCCAATCAGGGCGTGTGGCAAGGCCCCACCCCCAGCCCCTGAGAGGGAGCGGTGATTTGTGGCCGGCCAGCCCTGGCCTCCCCTGGGGCGCGCGTCCCACTTTCCGCTGACGGCCAGCAGCAGAAAGCTGCCCACCACCGTGCGTGTCCATCCTTGGTTGGGCGCCCTTGCCGAGGGCGGCAGAGGCAGGGCTGGGGCGCGTGGGGCTGTGCTGGGCGGGTGTCAGTCACGCGAGGGCGGCCCCTCACGGCAGCTTCCTCGGTTTTAGGTGAGAGGCGCGGTGCTGGTCCTGGTTCCGACCCGGGCCCGAAGCGGATGTCTGCATGGCTGCCTTGCTGATGCCCCGCAGGTACCTGTCCCTGGCGCGTCCCACGGGCCTGGGCCTGCACTGGAGGGTGCCGAGTGGACGGTGAAGCTGCGGCCCTGTGGGTGGGAGCTGCCTCTGCTGCAGCCCTGCCAGCCTGCGGGGGTCCGGTGACTCTGGGGCGGCAGGGGGCTGTGCGCGAGCTCGGGTGTTGGGGCGGGATCCCAGCGAGAGAGCAGGCCGGGCAGCGGGTCTGGTCTCTTTGTTAACGCTGGGCCTTGCTCTCCTTATTCTGCACCTGAGAAGGACCGCGCTCGGGCTCAGCTGGGAAGACAGAGACCCTGGCGAAGGCTGTGCACATCACTGGGGCCCTGCGGACGGCGCCTGGGGCTCTGCAGGCCTTTGGAGGCCGTGCCACTGCTCCCGGGGCCGTGGCCGGCTGTCTCCTTGCTGAGCAGGGCCTCCGGCGAAGTGGCCGTCCACACTGCCCTTGAGGCCGAGGGCTCGTGGGCCGCGCTGCGGGGGCTCCTGTGAGCTGCCAGGCGAGCATCGTGGTGCCCGTGGTCCTAGGGGAGCTGCGTGGCTCGGCCTGGCGGGGCGGGGGCAGGGGCAGGGGCCAGGTGCGCGGCCCCCAGGGAGCAGACAGTGGCGGGTCGCAAGGGAAACCCCCGTGCTGGTGAGAAAGCGCTGGAGCCGGGCTCCTCTGTGCTCAGCCCCAGGTCTGTGGGAAGGAGGAAGCGGCGAGGCCAGAGGAGCCCTCGTCACCGGGACGGCAGCCATGGAGCCCGTTCCACACGGTCGGTGCCCACGCGCCATCCTGTTCGCGGGGGAGAGAGCTCAAGTCCTGCTCTGTCCACCAACCCCTACCCCCGTGTTGCCTGCTTTTTTATAAAAGATTTATTTACTTGAAAGGCAGAGTCACAGAGAAAGAGAGAGAGAGAGAAAGGGGGATCTTCCATGTGCTGGTTCACTCCCCAAATGGCTGCACAGCCAGGCTGGGCTGGGCTGAAGCTAGGAGCCAAGAACACCATGGGGTCCCCCAGGTGGGTGCAGGGGCCGAGCACCTGGGCCACCACCTCTGCCTCCCAGGTGCGTCAGCAGGGAGCTGGATTGGAAGTGGAGCAGCCGGGCCTTGATCTCAGGCATCCTGAGTGACGGCTTAACCCACTGCCCCACGCGCCTGCCCTTCCCCCACCTGTGACCTCAGCTCCAGGAGTGGCCGTGGCCGAAGGTCAGGAGTCAGCAAAGCTCATGTGTCGAGGGCCAGGGATTCGATGTTCTCATCCCGGTGGTTCAGAAGTCTGTGGCTGAAGGTGTAGACCTTGGCTGCTGCTGTGTGCCAATAAAGCTTTATTTATACAAACGGCACCCGCAGGGAGCAGAATGCCAGGCCCTGGCTGAGCGAGGCACACGGGGCTGACAGTGGCAGTGGGGAAGAGACGGCAATACCGTCATCGCGCGGGTGTTCGGGAACTAGAGAACCTGAGAGAGAAATGAACAGGAGCTGTGGGCACTGGGCTTGCCTGGGGGCCTGGCTGTCCGTGCATCTGCCCGGCTGTAGGACGAGCGGGGACCTGGCAGGATGTGGCTGCCTGGGAGTCCTGATCTCTGCAGAGGCTCTGCAGGGCCAGGCCCCCTGCCCCCTACCCCGCTGGGTCTGGGGGCCACAGGCCGCGGTGCGTGAAGTCCAGCCTCCTGCACAGAATCCTAATTTAGAAACTCCCGGGCTTCCCGGCGCTGTTCCCGTAGTCAGCTGGGTGGGAGGCCGGCTTCTCCAAGGGCCCCCTCTGTGAGGCTGTGGGCCGGGGCTGCGTGGGGGGCGGCAGCTGTGCCCACCGCAGCCCCTGACCTTCTGCCCACGCTGTCTGCAGGAGCAAAGGGATGCGCACGCGCCTGGGGTGCCTGTCGCACAAGTCGGACTCCTGCAGCGACTTCACGGCCATCCTTCCCGACAAACCCAGTCGCGCTCTCAAGTGAGTGGCGTCCCCCGCTCCACTGCCTGGCCGGCCCTGCCCGCGGCAGCCCCCTGCACCCTGGGTGGGAGTGGAGGGGAGTTTGTCTTCCTCTTGGTGCATCGCTGACTGATCCCAGCTCGGGTCCCCTCTGCGCCCCAGACGGCCGGGCTGTGGGTGGGAGGGACACTCCTTGCCTCTGCTTGTCAATCTGAGCTCTCGATTTGGAAGTAAACTCTAAAAATACGCCTGGATCCAGGTAACCCGGGAGCAGCTCTCCCTGTGCACGCGCTGCCTCGCGTGACCCCCTGCAGAAACGCGAGGTGATGGGCGGGAGCCAGGACGGGTTTCTCTGCACTGCCCCTGACTGTGTCCGGCCCGGCCGTGTCCTCTCCTCCCCCAGTGCCTGGCTGGCTCGCGCCCCGCTGCCCCCTGCTCTCCGGAGCAGACCGCGGAGATGGGGGAGGGAACCATGGCAGGCCCGCTCACGGCTGTTTCTTCTGCCCAGGAGACTGTCCACGGAAGAGGCGGCGAGGTGGGCGGACTCGTTCGACGTGCTCCTGGCACACAAGTGTAAGTGACCTTCCCCGCCGGCCTTGGTCCCTGCGGCGCGAGGCGGAGACAACAGGGTGGAAGCCAGGCGCTGGCCTCCTTCCCCTCTCCTGGGCTCTGGGAGGTCCCCGGAGCCTCGTGGTCGCAGCCATGCCAGAGAGCCAAGCTCAGAGTGCGGGTCCGGGCTGGGGGCCTGTGGCTCCAGCTGCGTATTACCTGTGAAACTGTGAGGCCCGTTGCCCCCTGTGGCTCTGGCCTTGATGGGGTCTCCGGCCGTCGTCCTGGGAGTTCCTGCGCACAGCTGTGCCCCTCCCCCAGCCCCTGCTGCCCTCTGGTCCCCCTTGAGGCAGAGGTCGTGCGTGTGCAGTGTGGGGAGGCGCCCTCAGCTCTGGCCTCTCTCTCCTCGTGGGCGAGCCCACATTCCTGGGGCTCTGACACCCCAGGGCGTTACACACAGTGGAGGGGGCACAGAGCAGGGCGAGGAGGAACCAGGGAGCCTCGGCCGCCTGCAGCCGCCCCCAAGCCGGGCGTCCCGGCTGCCAGAGCTGGGCCTGCTGAACTGCGCAGTACGGTCTGCAACACGCAGGCTGAGGGCGTGGGTCGGAGTCTGACCTGCTCCGGATTTTATTTTTTTAAATATTTTGTTATTTATCTGAAAGGCGGAGTGATAAAGGGGGAGAGAGAGAGAGAGAGAGAGACATTCCCCCAATGGCCGCAACGGCCAAGGCTGTGCCAGGATGAAGCCAGGAGCCAGGAGCTCCCACGGGGGCTCCCGCGTGGGGCCAGGACCGGAGCCCCTGGCCGCCCCCTGCTGCTCTCCGAGGTGCCTCAGCTGGGAGCTGGAGCAAAAGCAGAGACAAACCCGCGCTCCAACACGGGATGCTGGCGTGGCAGGAGGTGACTTAACCCGCCACACCACAGTGCCAGCCCCGTGCTCTTGATTTTTAAAAAAAGATTTATTTGTTTATTTTAAGGTAGAGTTATAGAAAGGCAGAGGCGGGGGGGGGGGGGTCTTCCATCAGCTGGTTCACTCCCCAGGTGGCTGCAACGGCCAGAGCTGGGCCGACCCAAAGCCAGGAGCCAGGAGCTTCCTCTGGGTCTCCCACGCGGGTGCAGGGGCCCAAGGACTTGGGTCACCTTCATCTAATTCCCAGGGCATAGCAGAGAGCTGGATTGGAAGTGGAGCAGCCGGGACTCGAACCGGCGCCCATATGGGATGTCTGCACTGCAGGTCTGCCACAGCGCCGGCCCTGGCCCCCGTGCTCTTGATCTTAACCTTGCAGGGCCGACATGCAGTTGAGGGGCCTTGGCAGAGGCCCTTGGTCTCCGCAGGTGTCTTTAGAAGTCGTTGGCTCTCAGCTTCGCCCAGCGTCCCCTCCGATTCTGCCCCTTCCCAGTAAGCGATGGACAAATGCTTGCAGGTAGATTTCACAGTGAGACGCGGGGGCCAGGCCGGGGCACACGGCAGCGGTGGCCTCCATGGCTCACCCCGCGGCAGGAGGGCAGCCACGTGGACACCGCACACGGTGTGCATGGCGCAGGCCAAGCAGAGAGCTGTGCCAGGCGTTTGCCACGGTGGCGGCAAGTGTGGGACTCGGGACCTGCCTCGTGCAGCTGCGCCGTGCCTTGGGCTGAACGAGCGTTGTCAAGTCCTCGCCTCCTTCCCTGGCTGGGTTCGACTCGGGGTCATTTGGTTTCTCTTCCGGCCGGCGCCTGACTCACCTAGTCAAGTCCCTGGGGCCGCTGGCCCCCCAGTGAGCACCCGGAGCCCTCCATGGGGCGGCTTCCGAGGGTCTGCGTGTGCTTAGGGACAGGTGCTTTTCTCTACCCAGTGCCAGGCGAGTGCCCCTGGAGCCCGGTAGGAACTGCCGGTGCTGGCTGTGCCGTGTGGCCGTGTGGCCGTGGTGGCCCGGCTCCACCTGGAGGAGTTGTGGCGCAGGTAGTGGCAGGGTCTGGAGGTCTGAGGGCAACTCTCAGATCCGAGCTCGCCTGGTCCCGCTCTGCCCCGCTGTGGGATTCCGGAAGCTTCTCTGAGGCAGGGTCTGTGAGGGTCAGGAGACACCAGGTGCTCTGAGCCCCTGCATCCCGCCGCAGGTCCCGCCGCCCTTCCCAGGCCCGCGCCGTGGGGGTGGGGGAGCCAACACTGGTGAGAGGAAGGGGCCCCTTCCCTAGTCGCTGGCGGAACTGGGGCCCTGGAGACCCCGTCTGTGGCCCTGCAGCCATCCAGCTCTGGGGCGGCCTGGGGCTCAGGGCGCAGGACGGCCTTCCGAGGGACCCCACGTGAGCTGAGGAGACCTTGCGGTGCCCTGGGAGGTCCAGGGCCGTGGCCGGAGTGCCCACCCCCGCCCTGTGACGCCCCATGCTGCCGCCTCCCCCGCCCCCGTGCTCCATCTTGCACAGCTTGCACAGCTGTGTCCCGACCTCAGTCTACACAGCATCCCACCGCAGCTGTGTCCCGACCTCAGTCTACACAGCATCCCACCGCAGCTGTGTCCCGACCTCAGTCTACACAGCATCCCACCGCAGCTGTGTCCCGACCTCAGTCTACACAGCATCCCACCGCAGCTGTGTCCCAACCTCAGTCTACACAGCATCCCACCACAGCTGTGTCCCGACCTCAGTCTACACAGCATCCCACCGCAGCTGTGTCCCGACCTCAGTCTACACAGCACCCCACGCCCTCTGCTCGGCCCCGGGCCTGGAGCAGGCTACAATCTACAGACAGGGCCAGCGTCTGCAGGCTCGGGAGGCTGGCATGGGGAGGGGCCTCGTCCTGCAGGGTCCCCATCCCCGTGAGCGGTCCAGGCTGTCCGGGAGCAGGTGGGGTGCAGTCTGGCTCTGCTCCTGGGCGGCGGCGTGGCCTTCAGGGGGCCCCGACTCTTAGTCGTTTCCCTCTCCAACTTTGAAGGGGCTGCTGCAGGACTCGCCGGGGGCCGGGTCCAGTCCGGCCTCCTGTTCCGGGGCGCGGTCTGCCGCCAGCTCGGGGCACCCTGGGCGGCGTCTGACGCAGCGCTGCCTGCAGGGTTACATAAATCTGCCTGGGAGCTGAAGCGGCTCCCGCGGCCGGGACAGGGACCGAGTGATCCCGGCTCCTCCTGGGCTCGGAGCTCAGGCTGCTTCGGGAACCTTTGGAAAGCAGCTGTTTGGAGCAGTTGTGTTTACAGCCCTATTTGCTCACCAACGCCACGCCAAGAGGGGAAGCACCCACGAGGTCTGAGAAGTAACCACTTGCCAAAGGACTTGAAGTCGCTGAGGACTCGTTGGCAGGGAAGGGCTTCTGACGCGTCTCTGGCGCTTTCTCCTGCTCGTCAGTAGCGCTGGACTTGGTGTCTGCGTGCGCTCTTCTGGAGCTTGTCCCTGACGGTGTGTGCAGGCGAGCGAGTACACGCACACACCTGCATGTGTGTGTGCAGCTGTGTTTGCTCATGCATGTGCCAATGTGTGTGCGTGCATGAGTGCACACGTGTGCAACTCCGTGTTCACTTGTGTGCATGAGCATGGGCATCGCACAGACCATGCGGTGGGTATGTGCTGTGGTTCATGCATGTGTGCCTATGTGCGTTTGCTCATGTGTATGTCCATGCATGTGTATGTGTGCGGGTTTGTGCATGTGCATATGTGTGAGGGTGTATGTTTGCCCCTATGTGCATGTGTGCTGGTGTGGGTTTGCTCATGTGTGAGGATATGTGTGCGAGTATTGTGCTCATGCACGTGTGTGCCAATGTGCGTGTGCATGCGTTTGCTGGCATGTGCTTTCTGCACCTGTCGCTCCCCGTCTTCGTGGAGGAACGACACAGGACCCTGCGCTGTTCTTTCGTCTGCTCGGCCCTCCCCGGGTTTGCTGCTGGTTCTTCCCGGGTTGGCTACTATCCCTTCCACCTCCGTGGAAGGGCGGTTCCCCCTGCCACATTCCCCACTTCCGCGGGGGAGCGGCACACCGCCGGCCGGCTCTCTGGGGGGCTGCACAGGTGTTCCTTCAGATAGATGTTCCCCTTAGATGTTCCTGGTGCATGTTGTCTCTCTCCTCCTTTATAGTCCTCTTCCACCAATCCCAACTCTGCTGCCCACACGCCGAGTACGCTGCTCTCCTCCAATCAGGAGCAGGTCCTACAGTTTATTGGTTGAACTGGAGGCAGCTGTGTAGAAGCTGTTTACTCCTCCCCAGCGCCATATTGTGGGAGAGCAGATGCATAGAATAAGTCTTAATTCCAGTAACAGTCTAGTCCGAGTTGCTCCCCACAGCACCACGGCCATTGCCGGGTGCGGAAGACGTCCCAGGGTGCAGGTCTTCCCCCGGGCCGTGTGACCAGCTCCTGGCAGCGCTGGCACTGCTGAGCATGAATCCATGTGCCCCCCCACCCCCGCTTCTTCTTTTCGACACTTTGGTTTTTTTTTTTTTTTTAAGATTTATTTATTTGAAAGTCAGAGTTACACAGAGAGAAGAGAGGCAGAAAGAGAGAGAGAGAGAGAGAGGTCCTCCATCTGCTGGTTCACCCCCAAACTGGCCGCAGCGGCCTGAGCTGTGCTGATCCAAAGCCAGGAGCCAGGAGCCTCTCCCAGGTTCCCCACGCGGGTGCAGGGGCCCAAGGACTTGGGCCATCTTCTACTGCCTTCCCAGGCCACAGCAGAGAGCTGGATCGGAAGTGGAGCAGCCGGATCTCGAACCGGTGCCCCGTATGGGATGCTGGCACTGCAGGCCAGGGCGCCAACCCACTGCACCTCAGCACGGCCCCCACACTCTGGTTTTGAGGTGCAGGTGCAGGCAGGGTCCCTGTCCCTGTCCTGTCTCACTGGACCCCGCGCCTGGGTGGCTGAGCCCCGCCCTGGAGCTCATCTTGAACTTAGCCCTGTTTGCCGTTCACGGGGAGCACTGGGGGTCCCTGCTGGCCTGTGGGACGGGATGTGGGAAGCTCGCCTGCATTTGCAGACATGATGTTTCTTCCTCTCCCTCTGAGAAAAGGAGGCCGACAGAGGAGCTCTTAGTTTTTAAAAATTGTTCCCCTCAACAGTGACCTGGGCTG